TGTCACTCAGGACAGCCTTCCTCTGGCTGAGCAGCTGTCAGGGTGGCTTCTGGGTTATAGATTGGCTTCCTCACCCACGTATGCACTCTGCCCTCGGAAACCAAGCTCCCTAATCTAGCCAGCACCCCACCTCCCGTTTCTTCTTTTACTTGAAGAAGAAAAAAATATTATGAGACTTCTCCGACAGAAAGGCATAGGAGATGGGTTCCAGGCAGAGAAGCGAGTAGCTTCTGGAAATACACCAGAAAGCCCACAGTGGATGTGGCAGCTTCTTCCCTATGTGGGACTTCTGGGCAGAACAGAAAACCAAGGGATTCTGGCCTCAGTTCTGCCATCAAGCCTGAGGAGGAGGCATAGCATTTCCCGCCCCCATTTTATAGGCAGAGGTCGCAATCTGCCCAGGTCTCAGGCGACCAGCAGGACAGTATCCCTCTGCCCTGAACTTCCGGGTGCATCCCAGCCTGTCCTGGGGTGACCAGTTGCCCCAGTTTGCCCAGGGCTGAGGGAGTTCTCAGGATGCAGCACTTTCCATGGAATTAGGAAAGTCCTGGGTAAACCCTGATGAGTTGGTCAACTTAGCCTGTCCCCAAAATAGCAAGTCTGGGCTAGAGATCATCAGCCTCCTATCCTGCTCTGCACTTGAACGAGGTACCATCTGACAGGAAAAGAAGCCATGCGGTGAGGGTCAAGCTGCTATGAAATGCCTCCTGAGGTGCCCTGTCCCATTTCTAGCATCTCTGCTTCATTCTTTTAACAATTCCCTTTCCTCTCAACTACCAGTCTCTGTACAAAGCAAGAGAAAATAAGAAAAGTGGGAGAGATGGTTCCAGGTTTCCTTTCTTTTAAAAAAAAATGTTTATTGATTTCAGAGAGGAAGGAAGAGGGAGAGAGATAGGAACATCAATGATAAGAGAGAATCATCAATTGGCTGCCTCCTGCACACCAACTGGGGATCGAGCCCACGATGCAGGCATATGCCTTTGACTGGAATGGAACCCAGGACCCTTCAGTCTGCAAGCCGACACTCTATCCACTGAGCCAAACCAGCTAGGGCTCCAGGGTTCCTTTCTGACAGCTCATACCCTAGGATTCTGTTTAACATCCCCATGAATGCAGAGCCTCTCTGTGTTCCTCCTGGGCTCTGGAATTTTGTCTAGGAAATCTACATGAGCAAATCATCCCCGTGGCTCAGGAGCCAACAGGAACCTGGCTGTCCCATCTCCCAGGGGCTAAGTGACATGTCACCCTGAAGATACTGAAGTCTGCCTTAGGTATCACTGAGACGGCCTCCTCTAGTTTCTGGCCTATTTTCCAGAGTGGTTTCTTGCATAATTGATAGATATAGCAGGGGAGGTAAAACACCTTGTCCACTGACAGCCTGGGAAGTCATATCCAAAGGGCAAGTAGGTTAGGTGGGCTTGAGGACACAGGCTCTCGAGGCCAGGGTAGCCCCCATCCCATCAAGTGCTATTTTATTCCCATAGAATTCCCCAGAGCTGTGTGAGAAGACAGCTCCCACTTGACCCCATAGGGCACCCTAAGGACCTTCCTGTTGAGCTTTGGCTAGTTCTGCTATGAAAAACAACAACTAACAAACAAAAAAACCATCAGGCCCTAGCCGGTTTGACTTAGTGGATAGAGCGATGGCCTGCGGATTGAAGGGTCTCGGGTTCTATTCCAGTCAAGGGCACATGTCTGGGTTTTGGGCTTGATCCCCAGTAGGGGGTGTGCAGGAGGCAACCAATCAATGATTCTCTCTCATCATTGATGTCTCTATCTCTCTCTCTCTCTCCCTCTTCCTTCCTCTCTGAAACCAATAAAAATATACTTAAAAAACAAAAACTATCAGGAATGTGTCCCTCAGTCCAGCATAATCACCTCTGGGAAGATTCCAGCCCCTAATGTCCCAATCCAAGGATGAGAAACATCTGTCCACCCCACCCCTTAGACAGGAGGGTCTTGAGGAGTTTGGAAGGAAACTGACACAGAGAGATGGGCTGAATCGTGCTCCATTCCCAGCTGCAGACCCTGTAAAGCTCAGAAATAGACATGCTGCAGTCCACGAGCCAGGCCAGGCGCTGTGGCTGGGCCATGAGAGAATTCCTGGCTGGGAATGGAATCTGGACCAGACTCTACCGTCAACCATTCCCAGATCAGAGTAAACAGAGCCTTGGACACCAGCACCACAGAGTCTCCATCCGACAGGACCGCCTGTGGCCCTGCAGCTTCAGGGGCAGGCTGGGGAAGACCTAGCTCTCTCACTTTGTGAGCACAGTACCTGGCCCACCTCCATGCCACTCCACTCCCAGAGAGCCAGGAAGACTGGCAGGCCTAGCTGCCTGCGCGTCTTCTCTTCCCAGCTTCTGGGGAGCAGCTCTGCTACTGCACAGGGCTCGAGAGCTGCAATTATCCAGACAGGATAAGAGCTATTTTGGGAAGGAGCTGTCCTGCTGCCAAGGCATTTGACTTCCTAAACTAAAACAAGATGGGGCAGAATAGGGAGGAACTTGCTCAATCAAAAACATCATATCCTGAAATAGAGGAAATACCCCTTCCCAAAGGTATAGATCTGCATCAAGGGGTGAGCAAGGGGTTAGCTTGTCGAGATACTGCCCCCACCCCTGACTTTGGGAAGGAGGGGGGAAACCTGACCCCATCCAATTCCCCGCTCACTCCCTCTCTCCTAAGACCATCCAAGAGCCTCTATTAAGTCTGTTGCATTGACTTAGACATTTGAGTGCAGACTATTTCATATTGTTGTTTCCTGTCCACCTCTTATCTCCCCATCCAGATGGTAAGTTCTTCAAGGCCAAAGAATGTGTGTGCTATGGGGCTTCAACGCTTCCCCCAATAGTGCCTAGAAGAGTGCTAGGCATCTGAATAAAAATTGTTTGTGGAAGGAAGGGAGAGAGAAAGGGAGGAAGAGAAGGATTTACTGTCTTGCATTGAAATAATCTCTAAAAGTAGCTGCTCCCACCCACAGCTGAGCTCAGGGAGCAGGGCTGGATAAGAAGCCATGGCAGAGGGGGTGGCAGCCACATTTCTGGCACCTCCGCTGCAGCTGTTCCGTTATCTGAGCTCAGGCTGTCCTGCCCCTCCCCCCACTTGTTCTTCATATGTAGTAGTCAACTGTCCATCCTGGGCTAGCCCATAGATGAGACCCATTAGAGGCCATGCTAGGCTTTGGGGAAGAGAGAGAGATGAGAGAGAATGGAGGTAAGAAGAGCTTGGACTATCTTATCAAACATGGGCCAAGAAGAACTAAAGTACTTAGGGGAGCAATGCACTATGAAATCAGGACACTGCCAAATTCAGGACACAGGGCTGCTGAGAGCAGAGTTCACCTTGTGGCTCTCCAAGGTGAGGACTCAAATAGTGTGTAACCCAGAAAAGCGTCCCCTTTCTGGAGTGCCCTAGGCTGGAGAGGGGAGAGCCAAGTAGGGACCAATTCAACCTATGGCTTCCCAGCCTTCCCACAGGACGCTTGGCAGGATTCATCACTTGCCAGCAGGTTTCTACCTTTCTCTCCAGGGCTGCAAATTCTCCTTTGGCGAGACGCAGCCCTGGAGGAGCACAACTTGGCAAGTGGAACGCAGGCTAGATTTTAGCCCCCACTTGCCTGCTCTGCCAGGTGCCCTTGTGCAGCTAACACCTGCCCAACAATAGGGAGCAGCTTTCATTAGAGGGTAAGACAGGGACTTGGGTAGGGAGAGCACAGGAAGTTACCAAAAGTAACTTCCTAGGGGCATTCTTACCTCCTCATCTGTCATAATGGAGATGTAGAGGCCAGGCATTCCCAGTGGGCAGCAAATGGAAATCAGAGAGTGCCAACAGGAAGGGAAAAAGAGAATTTTACTGAAGATGTGCGGTGGACTCGGCCATTACCTGGCCCAAGTCCCCTCCTAGTGCAAGTGGCCCAAATGACAACAGCTAGCATTTGCTGAGTGCTCACCATTGCCAGGCACCATACCACACTAAGTGTTTTACATGTCATAGCTTGGTCAGTCTTCATAAGAACTCTAAAAGGAAGCCATTGTTCCCATTAACAGATGGGGGAAAGGAATGATTAGAGAGGTCAAATACTTACCCAATGTCGTAGTTAGAAAATAGTTGTTGGGAGGGAGGGGAAGAGGTTAATGGGGGGAAAGGGGACATATATAATACTTTCAACAATCAAGATTAAAAAAAGAAAATAGTAGACACGGGGCTCAAGCCCAGGAATATGACTCCAGAATCCATACTCTACTAAACCTTTCCTTCACGGAGCTTTGCTGTGAGGCAGGGCTGCCCTTCTCTGCTGAGGGTTCATGCTGGTTGGTATTGCACTGCATTCCCAGGGCTCTCTCTTCCCTAGGAACTTCCTGATTCAGAGCCCTGGCCTCCCTCATGCTCATGGGGCTGGAGCATATTTTGGACCACAATCCCTGTAGCAGAAACTCCTTGCCACTAAGATTCACGTTTAAGGGCTGGTCCTTACGTTTCCTCCCACCACAGAAGTCAAGATACAAGGGGAGTCAGGAGGGTCACAGGCCCTAAAGGCACTTCTCTTAGGACTTTAAAGTTGGCTGTAGGACCCACTGACCCCTCAAGGCGAAACCCAGACATCCCTGGAGATCCTTCTGGGCAGCAGCCAATAAGGACCTCCCAGGCCCTGGAATAGGGGTGTGAATAGGGTTCTGAGGAACCAGAGACACACATGAGGAGACCCCCAACCTGAATCAGTGTGGGGTCAGCCCTGAGTTAGACTGTGAAGCAGGCAAGTTGATTTTTGGGGGGTTTGTTTCTTTATCGAATGATAGGTAACATCAGCTAAGCTGCAAGGCCATGGGCTTACACTGTTCTCCATGCCTGCTATTCTCCAGTGACTACTTCCCATTATAAGGAAACTCTTGAACATGAAAAAGGTTCCAAGTCCCAAAGGAATAACTAATGGTGGCAAGATAAGAAGTTCCTCTGTTCCTTCAAGTCAAAGCCCCAGCATGCACCATGTCCTAACAGACCTAGCTCTGTACATACATCAAGGCTACCCACCCACCCGTCCTCCAGCCTCCCACACCCCCACAATGAACCATGGGAGGGAAAAGCACAGACCTTTTAGCCACCAGATGACACGATTGTACATTTCCTCAGAGACATCTGAAAGTAACAGAGATTGGTATGTTTTTTTTCTCTCTCTCTCTCTGTGGGATGCACACTCCCTGCCCCTCACTACTTCACATCTCCCTTTCTAGCTCCACATTTTTCCAAGAAGAAGGAGCTCTCCAAGAAGCTCCTCTTGTCTAGGGCTAAATGTCACACTCCCACTCTCCCTCTCCCTTTTCTCCCAGCCTCTGTGCCACTGTTAATGCCTTGCCCCTCTTGGAAGGCTCATCGGTGCCTCACCTTTGTTTCCAGAGTATGTACTAGAGGACCTTATCCTCTTTACTAGCTCTTACCAGCCCTCACCCCAGCTCAGTACTTCATGTCCACTCTCAGGAAGCAGCTTCCCCACCCTGCAAACCACTCTCTACTACCTTCCATTGAAAGGTTAAGCGCGTTGCCTGGAAGAGTCAATGCCTGACGCCGACCCAAGCATCGTCATCGATGTCATTAGCTTGGAACTCAGAGAAGCTGGCGGGGAAGGAATGGAGCAATGGGCTCAAGGATGGGTCTAGCTTTGGCACTGGCAGGAGGGTAGCTCTAAGGCCCAGAATGAAGAGGGGGCCTTCCCTGCCATGTCCCACTCACTAAATCGGGGTTGCACCTGGGCAGTCTGCTTCTTCACATACCCAAGAAGAAAGCACTAAACCTTTGAATGGGTTGTTTGGAGATGTGCTTGGGAGCCTGTGGCACTTCCCTCAATGGTGCCCAGCTTGGAGGCTCCGTTGCGGATTGTAGTGGTGGTGGTGGTGGTGGTGGTGATGTTGCTGGTGCTGGTGGTGGTGATGGACTTGCCTTCTCTCGCTGGAGCAGCAGATCGTCACAGAAAGGGCTTGAGTCCATTTCAAAAAAGGACAATGAATAGTCTGCAGGAAGCGGGGATTTAGGCTCCAAATCAGGTGTTGTTGGCCGGCTTTGAGGCATTTCAATGTCAGGATTGAGTAAGGGCCACCATGAGCAGTCAGGCCCATATTTAGGTAAGGACCGAGGGGGTAGGGGCCGAGGGGTCAGTTCCACTTTTGCATGAGCAGAGTGACTTGGGGAGGGTGCTGGGGACATGTAGACATTTTCTGAGGGTTTTGGGGTATGCTGCTTACTGACAGGCTCAGGAGATTTGTGGGGGCTCTCAGACACTGTCCGAGGTGTCACGTGGTGAACTGCTCGCTGGCTGTACTCCTGAGTATATGGTG